CACATTTCTCATGATCTTTTATCAGGGATCTACTTAATATCCAGGACAACTTAGGCCTAATTATAGCTTACTAAGCTTTAACTATATATACTATATTATGATCAACAAATCACAACTTTTTTTTCGCATTTAGCACAATTTTCTTCACTTTTTATTGCTATTAATATTATTATCAATTATTACTATCGTCATTATCATCATCATTGTTATTATTATTATTATTATTAGTATTATTAAACAAACATGATCTTTTATCAGGGATTTTTGACAACCATAGAGATCTTATTTTTATTAATGTGTGTGTGATATTCCATAGAAAAAAAAACATAGAAAAAAAGCTTAAAAACATTGTCTTTGAGTATTTACTTTACATAGGGCTACTTCAAAAACGTGATTTCACAACCACCTCAGCTCCACCATGGCTGGAGCTGAGGTGAGAACATTTGAGGAAATAGTACCTCTCGAAATGGCCGGAAATGACACTTTTATATAGTAAAATTCATCATCATCACATTACCATTATAGTCAAAATGAAACGCCAACAAATTTCTCATGATTTTTTATCAGGGATCTACTTAATATCCAGGACAACTTAGGCCTAATTATAGCTTACTAAGCTTTAACTATGTATAATATATTATGATCAACAAATCACAACTTTTTTTTCGCATTTAGCACAATTTTCTTCATTGTTATTATTATTATTATTATTATTATTACTATTAGTATTAGTATTATTAAACAAACATTTAAAGAAACTTGCAAAAGGATAAAAACGAAATTGAACCACAGTATCGCATTTCTATCTTAAAAGACCTGGCCTGAGATTTATGGATTTAAGATTTTTTTAAATCACGCTTAGGCTTGTGTTCTATTAGGCCTATGTATAACGTTTACTGATGCATATTTACATGTTTAGAGGTATTCATTTTAAGTGATCCCAGGAAATAATTTGTATTGGCTCAAGAATAAGCTTTAAAATGTTAACACTGTGTACAAAGGGGGGGGGGGAGCCGCGGCTCCCACGGCTCCCCCTGGATACGTCCCTGGGGTGACACATTTTAATGCACGCGAACAGTGGCTGGGGCCAGGGGGTCGGCAAGGGCTCTCGGTCGGTGTCCAAATGTGGCTGAAATAATGGCCTGGACGCTTTGGCATAAAATGGCATTAAATCAATATTAAGTGAGTTTATAATGATCTCAGATACAGTAGTTATTGAAACATGGAGGTAGAATGTTTATGATTATGGATGTTAGTTACAGCAGGGAACAACTCCCTGTTTACAGTAAAATTCATTACTATTTGAAAAAGAAACAAAATTTATTCAAATTTTAGAATATGCCTAAGATTTGATTGGAATGCGTAAGACTCGCAGCGAATGCGTACGGGTTGACAGGACTGTCGCTGATTATTGGAGACATATTATTAAATGCGGCGGCTTAGTCCCTATAGGAACTCTACGGGTGCTCAAGAAGAAGCCCCTCTTTAGTTTGCAAAAGTTAAGACTCCAAAAGAAGGCTATCTCGAAAAGAAGCCCTTCTCAAGATACATGGGATTCTTTTCGAGAAAGCACAGTACAAACGCTATATGAACAAAACAAAACAAAATAAATTTAAAAAGCATGTTTGGTTTATAGAGTGAATTAATGCTGGTTAATAAACTCCATGATACAGACAGAAGCAGCCTGGTTTCCCCAGGAAAATTTTAAGTATCTGCTGCTGTTGTTGACATTTGTTTAACCAGTATACCTCCATGTTCTCAACAGTGTTATATTATTATTTAAATTAAATAGTAACTATAAAAAACAAATGCAAATGAAGTAAGGTTAATGTACAGTATGTAATTGCTGTTGCTGTTTACGTACGTGCAGCTATTATAATCCATTTCTTCATAATCAATGTTATATCAAAATACTGTATTAATATTATTGTTAATAATATTAAATCATAATTTTTAATAAATAAATAAATATAAAGAGCAAATGTAATAACTTATTACCTGTTTATTGTGTATGGATAGCATTATCAAATAAGTTGAAATAGATAATAAAAAGTATTTCAGTATTAATAAGAATAATTATATGTAAATTATAGCTTCACTTTCAGTAATTCATTTCTTATAATTTAGATAATTTGCACCTACATTTGTATACTGTTAATATTTTCCATAGTATTTTTATGCTAAACTTTTGTTGATAACTAGAAAGAATGGGTAAAAAGAAATCATGTAAATCTCGTAACTTGTGCACTTGATATAATAGTTTTAATTAGTGATGATTTCCTTGCATTTAAATTCTTGTTTTATTCAAGGCATGAGCGGGGTGGGGGACTGGGAGGCAATCGTCTTAGGGGGTAAATGTCCGGGGAAAAATAATGTAAATCTTGATGTTTTTCTTGTATTATTTAAATTCTTGTTTTGTTGTCCAGGAGGAAATTGTCTTAGGGGCCAAAATATTCAGGGAAAATCAGCCTAGATCCGTTACAGCATCAATATTTAAATAAATGCCCTTCTTTACATTGCAATACTGTAGTAGCCTTAAAAAAAGCCCATCCAAAGGTAGCAAAAAAAGAAGCCCATGGCTTCTATTTGAGGTTTTACAGTATGTTTCGGTAAAGTGGACTCAGTAATATGAAATTTGGCAAACTGAGTTTCGGCAATCAGGAATAGATCCGTTTAGAAAGAACGACAAGTTTTCCAATGTTTAATATTCATACGCCCACATTTTATATTGTTCTACAGGGGCGAATTCAGAGTGGGGGCATGGGCTAGGGAAGTAGAAATGTGAATCCACCCGTTCTATAAATTCTTTAAAATGGCACAAAATTATCAATCGGGTGCATTGACACCCGATCCCCAAAATGGAATTTCTGCAGAAAAATGTTAAATGTTAACACCAGCAGAGGGGGATTAAGCTCCCACCATCAAGCAGCCACGATTATTTTTTATTCTTTTGGTACAAGTATAACAGGATAGCTTAACATGACCTGTTAACATAACCCGAATTTGCCCAATTATTCTCCGTGGCACATCTAGAAGGTGCGCTACAAAACTCCCCCAGTATTCTCCATTAACATTTCAAAGCAAACTAACTACGCTCGCATACTTTTATCACCTCATATATATCTTTTGGCCTATTCGAGCCCCTATTTCAAGTTTTTTTCACACATTTTTGTGTGAAAAAAAAATTGAAACAACATATATACATTAAGCAACAACTGGTGTGGCATCAACGAGTATGAAAACAAATTGCTCGTCAACAGTACTCAATACTGACCACCTGCTGTCTGTTTAAGACGCCTTTAACAACTGGGCCAGTAAGTACAGCATTCGAATACGGTTGAAAGCAACTGATTTACATTCCTTTGCATGTGTCCACTACGTTATACACACAGTAGTTAGCTCGTTAGCTACGATACAGTAACAAAACTGATCTCCTCAAAGTTGTAGTGGTGTGGTCTAGATTACCAACATTTTTAATTCACTTGCTAAAATAGACTATAAACTGCACCAATGAATTACCTTTAGATACTTCAAAAACTAAAATAATGAAACATGAATACATATATGAAGATTACTATTTTTGCTTTATTGTATTGTAAACGTATCTTACCCAAACTTCAATACAAGGACTGCATAATACAATACAAAATAAAGAAAAGCACGAGTGAAGACCAACAATACAGATACTGTTATTGAGATAACAAAGTTAAAGTTAGTAAGTGTTACATTGTGAGATTTTAAATAAACATTTGCAACATAATATTAAACATCAATTTGTGCTATCTATTGTATACAGTAATCACAATATTCCATAATGAAATGAGCATATTGGTATCAAGTGAAGAGTTCATGGAAAAAAATAGCAACAACCGTACTATATATACTGTATAGAGAAGATGGGCTAGATTACTTTAGTTCAATACCTGCTATCTTAAGTTTTACTAATAATGTGTTTCATTTTTTGGCTATTAATGTAGAAAAAAATCTCTTGTCAAAAATTGGACAAGGTTGCACATACCTGCTTTTCCTGCTCAGTTTACAGAAGTCAATATTTTTTTAAATTTTTTAAAATAGATTTTGCTATTTTTATAGATTTTTTAGTTTTTTTGTATGTATTGATTTGATATCTTGTATCATGTCTTTAAGGACTTTACTAGTTAAGGCCAGCATCTAGGTAGTCATCAGTAGTTCCGTTATTCTTACATAGGCATCTGATCAGTATTTATTCAAAATACAGAACCAGTGTCAATTTTCTATTTTTCTTTTTTTTTTGTTGTGTCCCATTTTCTTTCATATTTATATAACTTATTTATTTATAGCTTCTTTGTTTTGTTACTTGGCAGTTTTTGTCATATTTTACCATTTTTTTTTTTCATGAATTGCTTTTACCATTTTTTTTTTTAAATGTCTGATTTTTTTTCTTCAATTTATAACAAAGGAGAGTCGTATAGTAAGCAACACTCGGGTATATTTTTTTCTTTGTTAGCCAACTGGTGAAGTTACTGCGCAGTGGCGGCCACAGCAGGTTTATTACCAGATTCCTTAGCTTGGTGAGCCTTCAACACAATCACAGCCTCGTCAACCTAAAAAAAACCCAAAAACATTTTAGTCATTCAAAGAACATACATACCTTAGTCGCCTTGTATTCTCTAAGTTTAAAACCAAACACCAGTTAAGAAATCACTACAATACTACCACAACCTTATAGAACATGGTAAAAATAGCTCTACTCATTTTGGACAAACAAAACTAAATCACACATTTACCTTTGCGCTCAACGAGTCACGGGATTCCAACATGTGAAGCAACTCAGCGTTGTCAATCTCCAACAACATTCCAGTGATTTTACCAGCTAGGTCACCATGGCTAGGTTGAATGATATGGTATAAACGCTCACCCAACATCTGCTTCTGCTCCTGGGGGGTAGCCTGTGCCAGGCTGGATGGGGTCAATGGGTCCTGTCCGGGAACTTGGACAGCTTGTTGTGGTGTAACATCCTGATAAGCAAATACAAAATAGCATACTACCATTATATATTATAATTATTATTCACTGCCTGATGACAAAGGAATATCATTACATTATTTTTTCCATCACTAACCATAACATTTATAAGGCAAACTGAAACTTCAAACCTTAAAATATAACACTAAATTTCTGTAGTTTCTCTGAGTTTGCTAGTACAGTGCTTCTATCATTTACAATTCAGGGTAAACTCTTTATAGTTTGTACAACTTACCACAGGAATTCCAGCAGACTGACCAGCAACAGTCTGATTGCGCACAGCATTAGCATACTTCACTTGGCGTTGTTGAGCTGGTACAGTTGGAATTCCTTGAGCGGCAGGAACACGGATAGCAGACTGAGGGATCACCCCTATTGGAAGAGAAAATTCACGATTAGTACAGGGCTGTATTGACATTTGTGACCGGATCTGGCAAAACCCTTCATTTTTTGCAATTCATAATTTCCCACAAATTTCTAGAATCAGAATTTTGAACATTTTCATGTTTTTGCATTTTCTAAAAGATGATATACTGAAGAAAATATTAATCACTAAATCAAACTGAAAAGTATATTAACATTATAAAAAAAAGAAACAAAACAAAACAAATATTGATAAACTATTAATTTTAGAATCTTTGGAAGCTGTTTTCTCGAAACCTACATGGCTGATATCCCTTGAATTAAATATTCATAACTTCGCTAATATTCAACCTATTTCCATCAAATAAACACAGTTTTAAAGAAAAATGCATACAGAATCCAAAAACTAATTTAAATTATTCCTACAAACGAGCCAGTCACATTTTATAGTAACTAATTTTAATCTCCTTGAAGTAGTAATTTTATATGTCAGGCTTGTTTTACTTATGTTTTGCAACCCTTTGGTAGCAATCAATAAAATATGGATGCTGTTACTGGCTACCTACCTGTCACACGCTGCTGGTGCTGCTGGGGAATAGGGACTCTTGCAGGATTGGCAGTGCGGATAGCTGGGTTGCCTCCTCTCGGGGCAAACGGACGCGTATTTGGCATGGGCTGGAAGCCTGCACTTTGTTGACCAGCTAAAGGAAAAAAAATATGAGATACATTCCCAGTTCTGACTTTTCAACTCCCAACTCTCAACCATTTCATTATACAAAATTTGCTATGAATTACCTAAAATATATAATTTTACAACTAGATGGATGTGTATATCAGGGCTCGATTTAGTACTAGCCCGGCGTACAATGTCTAGTAAAAACCGGTCCGGGCTAGCCTATTTACTCCTCATTTTGCCCGGTTGTCTAGTGGTGAATTAGCAAGAAAAACATTTAAAAAAAAACAAAAAAAAAACCCCCGGAACTTCCGAGACAATCCCTGCACAAGAGGTACTGCAGCCCAGAGAGTACACTGTAGCTAGCTTTCAGCTCTCCACATGCGCGAGTGTTGAATTATTAAGATGATCCCCAAGTCATTCACCAACAACTGCAGGATGGCATGTTTATCTATCGCTCTCTCAACAGAAGATCGTTTGATTTGATCGTTCAATCTGGTTAATTTAGGTACATTTAATTTAATGTACTACCTTGTATTCATATTATTTTCTCATAATGATATTTATAAAATGTTCAACTTTGAATAATTAAGTAATTCAATGCTATAGGAGGCTAGCCTAGGCCCTGGGTCTTGTGTAGGCTTAGGCCAAGGTAGCCTAGCCTAGCTTAAGTGGCTTAAGCAAGATTTATTGCCATATGGGTTGAGTGACTTGAGACCTAAAGATTTAACAGATGCATTGGTTTGATTGATTTCTGGGCCCTTTGTTAAATATTAGAATGCCGACGTTATAACCAGGGAGATATAAAACATGCTCATCTGTGCCTGTTAGTGTTATAACCAGAGTCGATTTTGCAGCATGGGTGATTTTTTTTATTTATTTATTTAACACTAATTTGAGAGGGTAGCTCAAACAGCAATGCTGTAATACAGAAATTATGAAATTGCAAATCAAACTTCAAATTTAATTGTCGCTAATAAATATTTTGGAAAAAAAAATTTTTTCCTGTCAGTGGGCTAGTAAAATATTCTGTGGGCTAGTAAAATCTCTTGTGAACTAGCCCAGTTGGCTAGTTACCAAAAAAAGTTAGGGCAAGCCCTGTATATGGTTGCAAGATTATTATAGAGGATGCCAGAGTCAATTTTTTCCATTTACTTTTTGTTATTGGCAACAGCAATACAAATGTTTTTATTACAATCCCTGTTTTATTAAAATTACAGTACAGTAGAACCCCTCATTTACATACGGGATGGGCCCAGAAGTGTTCATAAAAATCATTTGTACGTAAAATCGGGGTTGTGTGAAATTCCTATGTATTTACACTGGGCAAGGCTAGGCCTGGACTTAAATTTTGTTGGATTGGGGCCGCAAAGAGTACCGAGAAAAAACTGAGGAATGGACAATACAGACAAATCCAAAATGACATTTTTAAACAATTTTTCGACTTGGGATAAAATTTGACTTGCATAATGCTAATTAATGGAAAACAAAACAATTTTCCATGTAAAATAAGATCAACTTGGAAATTAATAATGTTGGACAAAGTCGATTTCAAACATATTTTTTACGTAACAGTGATAAATTACCTGGAAATGGCCCTACTTAAGCAGCAAAGGGCTGAAAAAAAATATATTATTAAAATTAAGCAAATTAGAAATATGAAACATGATGACAAACCTGGTCTTGGTTGGTTAGCACCAGTCCACCTTGGGTTTCTGATTTGTGTCATCTGCCCTGCTGGGTATAATCGTGCTTGTGGGGGCTGAACGGCTTGAGTAAAGTACCCAAACCCTGGGTTAAACACCTGATTTATCTGTTGTGCATTCCCCTATTATAAAAGAAATCGGTTCATGTTGAAAATTGCATGTTTTATTTGTACAAAATGGGTTTGATCCACAAAAAGATAATTGCCAATCTAATTTTTTAGTACCATGCCATAAATTATATGTAATATATCAACTTCTATGGATTGCTGGGGTACCTGCATGTACACGGTTGTGGTGAAGACACCCCCATCTCAACATCAGAGTGCACATTTTCCTTCCCTTTTGTGTTCGTGGTTTGTTTAATGCCATTTCAGGCTGCCGTGTCACTTCAGAATGCGAACAGCCCGTTTTTTTTCTTTTCTATTTATGAATATGATTTGCGGTCTGAATACTGCCAGCGTCTTGAGGATATTCTATTGTGGAAGGCACTGTACAAATATCCTAACATTAGCATTACAGTACCATTATCACAGAACACCAGTAGGCTATTGTGTAGAGTGTGGCAATATACTGTTTATAAACATTATTATGCTGCTTTTTTTTAGTAAATCTTCGCCTTGTGATGTTTGTACATAAATATTTAACTACAGTAACATCTCCCAATTACGAACTGTCGATTTTATGAACCCAATTTGTGACAATGTCATTACGAAAGATCACTTTTAACTACAAAAACACTTTAAATTGTATTTAATTCTTAAAAATCTCAACTAAGGAAAATATTTAAACCAATGAAGTGACAAAACTAAGTTTAAAGCAAGACATATCAATCGTTTTCAGCCGAGATATATTACATTTCAGCTGTGCATACATGTTCACACATACTGTACAGTAAATCTCAGTTTTTGTTCATTGGGGGTGCTATTCGCATGATTCGCAATTTTTTAAAAAAGAAAATAATAACACTCGTTTTGGCCATTATTTAGTCATGTTTTCATTCGAAAATCACTTCAAATGAATACTTTACAGTGAGCACAGGTAATTTTGGCTCCTGTAAAGTATTATTTTATTGCAGAAAACAGTAAATCCAAGTCATTTTACGTGACAAAATTTTGCTCCCATGGCAAGGCTTAGGCCTACCTAGCCCTGTAATTTGTAGCATAGGCCTACCCCCACCACATTGATATGCTATGAAAACTCAAACTCTCTGAATTACGAATTTTCTCAATTATGTTTCCGACGGAGGGGTATGTAATTGGGAGATGTTACTGAATACCAATAATAGAGCAAAATTAAAAATTTATAAAATCTTACGGGAACTCTAATCCCTGCAATACGTTGCATGTGTTGGGCAGCCAGCTGTGCCTTACGATCTTCTTTCCGCTGTGCTAGTGCTACATACAGAGGTTTAGTAGCAATGATTCTTCCATTCATCTCAGTAACAGCCTTAGTTGCTTCTTCAGGGGAAGAAAAGCACACAAACCCAAATCCTCTTGAGATTCCCTTTTCATCACTCATAACCTGAGGTAAATAAAGCATTTTAAAAATTCAATAAAATAGCAGTTATTTCACACATGAAGTAAACATGCCTATATATAATGAAACTATGAAGTAATTTCAAACTCAGTGTTAAATAATCATGCACAAATGATGTTAAACCTGGCAACTTTTACAATGATCCACATAATATGCTCCCAAAATACCTTTAAAATAAAAAAGGATACATTACCTAATCTAGGCTTTTGTGGATTTTATCTAGCGCAGATTCAGAAGACATAAAAAACCGATATAATGCTGCTAACATCATATCTGAGCTGGCCGGTAAACTGGGACCAGCTACTCTCTTTTCTCCACAACAGGGGCTGAATGGACCAGTATACCGAGGTAACCCCTATTCGCCTCGAAAGATGTACTGGGTTCTTTATAGTGCACAATGAGCTAATTGTGTACACAAGCCTACAGTTCACAGGACTGCTCACATAACCCTTAGCATTGCATGCTTCTACTTTTACCAGTTAAGTGATTCAGTAGTTTATTGTATATAATCTGGTATTTCTTTTTTCAAATGTACCAACTTGCAGCATTTACAACAATATCTTTTAAGTGAATATTACCATCACTGACAATTATTATAATACCTTTGCACTTGTAATAGTACCAAACTTTTCAAATTCTTTCTGCAACCGCTTGTCATCAATTTCATCATCAAGGTTCTTTAGGTATAGGTTAACACCCTGGAAGCGATTGATTCTCTCTGCTTTCAGTCGTTCATATTTCTGTTTAAGCTCAGCTTGACGTTCTGCTTTCTTCTGTGCACGCCCAACATACAAAGTACGACCGTCCACATCAACATTGTTCAGCTGCTGAGTGGCCTGTAAGACAGAAGTTTTTATTCAATTATTGTTATTAAAAACCAATGAAAATCTATTGTTTACCTTTCAAAAATCCACCGATATACTGTCTATGCTGAGCAAAGACAAAAAGAGAAAGAAAGTAAACTTTCTCAGTGATATTTGTGTATATTAGCTTTCAATTGAAAATTAAGGCTGTAATTAATTTTTAAATGTTGACCAAGTACATTATTCTTTTATTACGAGATATTAAACTTTGTATACTGCTCTTTGATAAAAATTATCATTCAAATATGACCATAATGTAACTAATATTGCTAACTAATAAGCATGAGCTAAATATTTTGAAGATAATAGTGCGTTATCACCTTAAATGCTTTTCTTATGAGCCCATTATGATCAAGTGATGTGAGAAGCATATTGTTGATCAATGACAGTGGATCAGACAGTATGAATACAAATAAAAACTTCCATGTTGTAGGTCAATGAAAATCCAGAATGGAAATCATCACCTCCATACCACTGATCAAAAAATGCTTATTTAAGTATTCAATAAATAATTTTGTAACAAATATTACAAGAAATTATTCCTGTTTAATTTTTATTCATCTATATTTCTGAATCCTATTTTTTCTTAAATTATTATTATTCAGAGGCTAATAGCAAGTCTTTTATTAGGTTGACTGCATTCTACTACTTTAAATGTTTAATAAGCTCCTCTTTCTCAAAAAAAGTACTGCACTTTTATTTTACTTACAATAGAAGGATGTTGCATAATATAAAATTTTAAGTCACCTGTGATGCTGCTTCGTGGTCCTCAAAGCTCACAAAACCAAAGCCACGGCTTTTAGAACCATCATCTCGCATTACTTTGGCACTAACAATCTTGCCATATTTGGAGAACATATCCATCAGCTGGTCATCTGATACATCTTCACTCAAGTTTTTTATAAAAACATTTGTGTAGCTCTTCATTTTATCTCCCATGTCAGCATCCCGGGCTTTGCGAGGAATCCAATGACCTACATACCTGAGAGATAGTGTTGACTGGTATTAAAATCGTGTTTCTAAAACTGTACAATACACACGACACGTCTTTTCCCCTCTTATATTGGAATGCATATTATCTCATTCAACTATGGTAAATTTTGTTTAGTTATGTTCTCTTTTCGGCTTTAGAATTTTCATTTACAGATAATACAATTATCACTTACACTTTTTTTCCATTGAGCAACATGCCATTCACTTTACTGATGGCTTTAGAGGCAGCATCTTCGGTCTCAAAATGAACGAAGCCGTAGCCTTTAGATTCGTTGTTTTCATCGCATTGTATCTAAATATTGGAATAACAGAAAGAGGCAGTATATGAATGAAACTAATTCAGGTTACTCAGGAATGTAGTTATGTTGGGCAGTCACTCAACTTTTAAGTTTTCCACAGTGTCTAATGCCAATTTCATAGCCGTCCACCCACCGCTATTAACCCACTTTCCCATCCCTTAAATCCACTCTTATTATTTAGAGATTACCAATGTTATCACCCACCCATCTTTAAAATATCTACCACCCACCCTTAGTTTTCTACAGCTACAACCCTGGTTATATATATTGTTTTAGCAACTGTTTATTTTACAGCACTAGTATAAAGTTTTTCAGAAGAAGTAGCTATAACAAGACGTCATAACTGACAAGTGCTTGGCTTTTGCCAGCAAGGAGCCACTGTGAAATTAAACTTGTCTGAAATGGTTGGGTTGGAGGTAGTAGACATGGTACAGTATCAGGGGCTTAGCCAGAAAAAGTGAAATAGGCCGTCCAAAATGGAAGCCAGCGGGCAGGAACTCCCCCTCCCAAACATAAGAAAAAAGATAGAAAATTATGATCGTTAGAGGGCATTTAAATGTTTAAATGTTGGAATTTTGTCTTCAAATTAATAGTTTTGAATTAGCCATCACAAAGATATTTCAGTTATAGACATAGATTGTCATAGATATTTCAATTCTAGGCTATTCAATGCATCTTCATCTCGCCTTAGTTCAGTGTAAATTTTATTTTAGATCCTCCGAATCGAGAGATAGGCCTAGACCAACTGTAGTTTGTTGACTATTAAAATTTAACCTGTGAGGTTAACAATAAATCTTTATGGTATTTCATAAATTACAAAAACCGAATCTCAAATATTGTAATAATGTAACATTTGATAGATAGATCTGAAAAATATAAAGAATTTGCTAAAGGTAGACCGGGCCCAATTAGGCTAGTCCGAGCTAATTAATAATTAATAATAATATAATAATTATAATAAAAATAATGTTGGCCGTCCAAAAGACGACTCGCTGGCTAAGTCTATGTACAGTCCGCTGTGTTTAGAAGCAGGCAGACTAGGCATATCATGACTTGAGTTGTTGAAAGTGACAAATTAAGATGTGTGTGGTGATAGTGAGAATTGAATAACTACAGTCTACACCATACTAATCTATTATTTTTTACAGATTTTATTTGTTCTTTGAAAAGAACTGACAACCTTGACTGTTTATTGCTTAAAGTACTGAATAGCAGATTATTCGTAATTGGTGGTTGTTTACAGGAAACACTTTAATATATCAGTATCCTATAAAGCTTATAAAATGTGGAGAATATGAAGATATTAAAATGTTTAATATTTTGGTCACTGATGTTGGTCTTTGCATGGCAATCGCCATATCTCATCATATAAATTTGTACATGTAATATTATATTTAATTTAATTCTTTTAAAGTTAACTCTTCAAATTTCTTTTCATTACCATTACAAGAATCCTTGCTGAAATACCATAGTGGTTATGTTATTGAGCTGCTTCAATATTGGCATGTACAGCTTTATACTACTAAGGCCAAGTAAAAAAAAAAACATGTTTCACGTCCGGCTTTTTTTTTAAATTGAGGAAGAGGCCTTTTTTATTTTTTATTTTTTATTTTTCAAAATGGCCGCCATTCTACAGACTTGTTGACATTTCCCGTCTAGTTTTGTACAACATATAAAAAGACATCACAGAAGATTAGAAGCTGTATACTGTTTATTTGGCAAGAGTGTTATTGGGTATTATAAGCTTTTTTCTATTCACAGTGGCATTTAGGAATCATTGTTACTGTATACAATGTTCCCGATGTTACGTCTCAGACGTCTTCACATGATACTATTCCATACAATCTGTCATAGAGGGCCAGTATAACGGGAAATTCCAGAATTCATCGGAAATCATCGGCCGTATTCGATTGGGACTTTCGTGCTCTGCTCAACGGAAACTGCTCAACGAAGTTAAC